AAAAAAAAAAAAAAAAAAAAAAAAAAAAAAAAAAAAAAAAAAAAAAGCTATAGAAAATTGAAGAAAGAACTTTAACAAGACCTCAGAAGATGGAAAGACTGCCTATGTTCATGGATAGGCAGAATTAATGCTAAAATGGCCATAGTACTAAAACAAATATACAGATTCAATGCAATACTCATCAAAATTCTAGTGACATTCTTTACAGAACTAGCAAAAAGAATCCTAAACTTCATTTGGATTTATAAAAGACCTAGAATAGACAAAGGTATTCTAAGCCAGAAAAGCAATGCTGAAGACATCACAATACCTGCCTTCAACTTATACTATATAGCTACTTCATGATACTGGTATAAAAACAGACATGTAGACCAATGGTATAGATTAGAAGGCAGAGACAAATCCATACATCCTCAGTCATCTGATCCTTGACAAAGGTGCCAAAAACATACTTTGGAGAAAAGTCAGACTTTTAAACAAATGGTATTGGGACAACTGGTTATCCTACATAGAAGAATGAAACTATACCCTTATCTCTCACTTGGCACAAAAGACAATTGAAACCATGCCAGTACCATGAAGTAGCTATGCAGTCAATTAAAACTGGATCAAAGGACTTAGGATTAGACCAGAAACCATGAGGCTCCTAGAAGGAAATGTAGGGTCAACACTCCAACTTTTAGACACAGGTAATGAGTTTCTCAATAGGACCCCTATAAAGCCCAGAAAATAATAGAAAGAGTTAATAAACAGGAAGGCATCAAATTAAAAAGCTCTGCACATCAAACAGTGAGGAATGTGAAGAGAGAAGCTACAGAATGGGAGCAAATCTTTGCTAGTTACCCTTCTGATAAAGGATTAATATATAGAACACATAAAGAACCCCCAAAATTTAACTCAAAATGCCAAATAACCCTATTAATAATTGGGCAAAAGAATTAAACAGACACTTCTCAAATGAAGAAGTACAAATGGCCAACAAATATATGAAAAAGTGTTCAACATCAGGAGCTGGGAGTGTGGCTCAGTGGTAGAGCACTTGCCTAGCATGTGTAAGGCACTGGGTTTGATTCTCAGTACCACATACAAATAAATAAAATAAAGGTACATGGACAACTAAAAATATTTTTTAAAAATGTTAAACATAATTAGCAATTAGGAAAATGAAAATCAAAGCTACACTGAGATTTCACCTCTCACCAATCAGAATGGCAGTCATCAAAAAAACAAAAAAAATAAATGCTAGAGAGAAAGGAACACTTTTACACAGTTGATGGGACTGTAAATTAATACAACCACTATGGAAATCAATATGGAGGTTCCTCAAAAGACTGGGCATGGAACCACCATATGACCCAGCTATACTACTCCTTAGTATTTATCCTTAAGAATGAAAGTCATCATATTATAGTGACGCATGCATACACATGTTTATAGCAACACAATTCACAATAGCCAAACTATGGAATCAACCTAGGTGTCCATCAACAGATGAATGGTAAAGAAAATAAATGCAAGATATATACACAGTGAAGTTTTATTCAGGCATAAATAAAAATAAAATTATGTCATTTGCAGAAAAATGGATGGAACTAGAGACCATTATGTTAAGTGAAATTAACCAAACTCAGTTCAAGGGTTGTTATGCTTTATATGTGGAAGCTAGAGAAGAAAAAGTAAAAGAAAGGTGCAGAGGGGTGGGGAATCTCATGAAAATCAAAAGAAGATCAGTAGAGGAAAGAGACCAGTGACCAGCGGTTGGGAAATAGAGAGGGAGTGGGGAAGGGCTGGGGAGTGATACTGACCAAATTACATTGTTATATTGTGTGCATGTACAAATAGTAACTACAAATACCATCATTATGAATAACTGTAATGCACCAATAAAAAACCTGTGTAGAGAAAATAAAAAAAGAAAAAGGAGGTTTGTAAAAATAATGGCAGTAGTAATAACTTAATGTTCCAGTGCTCTCCTTAAATTTTATTTGTATTAACCAATTTATTCTTTTTAATAACCTAGTTAATTACTAATTAATTCATAGTTACCAGTTAGTACCTGAAGATTGATTACTAATCAATAATCCTATTTACAGATGTGAAAATTGAGGAACATAAAGGCTAAATAATTTTCCTGAAGTGACCTATCTGGTACAGGTAGGTATGGGAAGACTATGGTAAAACCTTTGTCAGTTTACATTGTAGAAATGCTACAGAGCAGGGCTGAGATTATGGCTCAGTGGTTACAGCCACAGCATGCATGAGGCACTGAGTTTGATCCTCAGCACCACATAAAAATAGATAAATAAAATAGAAGTATTGTGTCCATTTATAACTAAAAAAATTGGGGGGGAAAAGAAATGCTATATAGCATAAAAGGTCTTAGAGAAAAACAGGAAATATGTGAATTATGGGCAGGCATATTTGCGAGGCACTCACAAGCTCATGAATTTGAATGTATGCATGATTATGTGAGAGCAACTGATTCAGGGTCTTCTCAAATGTTCTTTGCCTTGAATTCAACCTTTCCACCTTCAACTAGAATTTAGCCTCAGTATCCAGCCTCAGGGAAGTTTGTTATATGTTTTCAAAAAATGCCCTTCTCTCTTTTGTTCCTATCACAATTGTAATTAAATTAATATAAATGTTTACTGGTAGATTTGTGAGGCACTCACTTTGTTGTCTTTTCTTGTAGACTTAGGTTCCATGGATTCTGTTTCCCACCATGTATCCAGCACCTAGCATGGTTTCCAGCACGGAGCATGCACTTAGCAAGTATTTGCCCAACATTAAGTAGGTTTCCCTTCTCAGATTCCTATAAACTTGATCACAGAGCATTCCGTACATATATTTGCCTTTTCATCCTATTAAAAAATTTGTACAGTAAAATATACCCATTTTGGTGTACAGGTTTATGAGTTATAACAAAAGTAGAAAATTATAAAATCACTATCACAATCAAGATATAGAATAGTTCATCTCTTTACCCAAAATTCCCTCTTGCTAAAGCTTTGGAGTCAAATTTTACCCCCAAACTCAATATTTGGCAACCACTGAGAATTTTTTATTTTACATTACCCTGAACTCTTTTTTCCGTTTCTATCCTGCTTTGTCTATTTTTCAACTGTCTTACTGCTTAGCAGTATTCCTGAATACTGTATCCGAGAAGTGAAACAGAATTTAGACGGTTGCCTTACTTATTTGTGCACCACATAGAATCATTTGAGCAAGTAATATGAATACTTGGAAGAATGAGATGAGGATCATAAGGTCACCTAGGTTTTTGTTCAAAGCCTACTATCTCTCCACTTTTAAGAGCTCAGATCTGTATGCATCACTATTTCACTACCCTTGTTTAATTCATGCTTCATGATCTTGTCCAGTACCCTGCAATGGACTTCATACTGTTTTCCATGTATCTAATTTTTCTTTTCTTATATTCAATCTCTACATTTCACCCAGAGTGAAGTTTCTAAAATTGTGAGGCTTTTTAAAGTTCTCCATTGAGATTTAGCATCTTAACATATAGTTCACAGCTCTTCATGAGGCCCCTTCTTTCTTCTCCAGACCTATTTTTATTGGATCATGGCCTTTGCACTCTATAATACTGTTCTGGCAGTCCAGAGTTATTTGATAATTTCCAATAGTGCCTGAGTGCCTTTGTTCATGCTGCCCTGAAAGTCTTCCCTTTCTTTATCTGCCAATGCACCTGCACATTATTGAAGATGAATACTTAACTGTTATCTCCCGCTTTCTGACAATTCCCTCTTTTGTCTCCAAACTTACCTGCCCACCCACCTGCCATAGCACCTATAATTCCTTACAACATACGATGCTCATGTATTGATTTCCTAATTAATAGAAACAAAGCCCTTTGTGGTAAGTTTATTACACATCTTTGAATCTCCAGTGTAGGCTCTCAATAAATATTTGCTGAATGCATCAGTGAACAAAGTTTTTAACTGTATTGTTAGCTGAGCACTTGAATAATTTTCATTAATCTGTTTAATATGTATTTTTTGGTGTTTAAGAAACTTTTTTGATCAAGTACTTTCTTTTTTCATGAGAAGCTAAAGATCCTATTTTGAAGTTCTCTCCAGTCTTCTATTAGACAGGGTGCATCGATGTGTGACCTTGTCAGTTGGCAGTATTTCAACTGGGCTTACCCATAGCTGTCTGCTTGCGTATAGAAACTCAGTTTGCAACTGTGGAAATGAAAAAGGGAAAAACAGGGGATGTCGAAAGGGGATGAATTTCCCATTAGGGCTCACTGGCTTTGAACTTCCTCTCCATTTTGAGGCTTAGAGTAAAGTCAGTGTTATCACTGTGTCCTCAGGTCTGCACTGGTTACAAGTCACATTGTTGTTTACCCCTTTATCTATGGTGTTGTTTTCATTGCCATATTGACTTTATGGACTTTCACCCTGGGGATCTTAGTCTTAAAGTGTTTGGCTTCAAGATATTTGCCATGGAAGTGGGAATTTAAAGTCCTCTCTTGTAAAAGATATTAAACCCCTAAAAAAATTCTAACTAATCATGTCATTCCATTGTCAAACAAAACAAAAACAAAAAGACCTAAGTACTAACAAAGGAAAAAGCTACCTTATTTGTGACTAGCTAGCACCTGACCTTAATTTGGGTCAAATGAGGTGAAGATATAGACATGCTTCTCCTTCTCCCACCTGCCCAGAAAGTTTTACTCAGGTTTTAGGTCAAGGACTCATTTGGGTAGAACCTAAAGTTCAGACATAACCTCTCTTGTCTGCAAAATGACTATGGTGTTGAAGCTATTGGAGCCAGACACAGAAGAGTAAAAATTTCATGGTTTTTGGACTTTGAGCATGTCATTCATTCTGCCTGGACTTTGTGTTCTCATTTGTGAAGTGTTACCACCTATAATTTATGTGTATTGAATGATAACAAATGTAAAATATCTGGTGTACAAGAGAGACAAAGTTGTGTGCTTCTGCTGTGGGTAAGTGGAATTTTTATAATGCTATTAAAATTGCTCTCCATTGCTGATTGCAGTCTTCTAAAGTAGGATGGACAAGATACTAGATTTAATAGAGGACTCTGAGAGGGAAAAATGAATCTAATTTGGAAAAGCTGGCAAAAGTGGTTAAAAGACAACAACATGGAACAACTCTTTTCACAGAGAATATCCTGTATGTCTATACTCCAGTGAAGGCAGGTGTTGGCAACAACCAACTTATTTTTCATTGTCCTTAAAAGCTCAGACCTAGCCAGGCCTGGTGGAGCATGCCTGTAATCCCAGAGGCTCGGGAGGCTGAGGAAGGAGGATTGCAAGTTCAAAAGTCAGTCGCAGCAGCAAATTAGTGAGGCCCTAAGCAACTCAGTGAGACTCTGTTTCTAAAAAAAATACAAAAAAGGTCTGGGGATGAGGCTCAATAGTTCAGTGCCCCTGGGTTCAATTCCTGGTACCAAAACCAAAACAAACAAACAAACAAACAAACAAAAACCCCTCAGGCCTTTTTGCATCTCTCAAAAGGATAAATTCTTTAAAACATGCAGACATAACTTGTTGTGTTTTGTGCAAATTAATTTTTCATAAACACATTTTGTTTTATTGTTTTCACATGACTCCCTGCAGTTCATATTATAGCACTTTTTCCCAAGCCTAATTTTTTACCTTTCCTGTCTGCCCCTCAATCTTGTCTACAACTCCATCTGTGCTTCCCTTGCTATACCCGACCCCAACCTCCCACCCTATGCATACATTATTGTAGAGGTATCCAGAGTTGATAACGTCTCACCATAATAATAAAAATAACTTTAATATAAACCTCTTTATAAACTGATTTCGTAGTCATGATTTAGTTTACTCCTCCTAATAACCCTGTGTGATAGATATCTCACTTCTGAGAATGAAGAAATGAAAGTTGAGAGGGGTGGCAAAGCAAATAATATTAGATCATGGCATGGCTCATCTTATTTTTATTTTGTTTTGTTTTATTTTGGTATTGGGGTTTGAACCCAGGAGCATGTAACCACTTATCACATTCCCAGCCCTTTATATACTTTTTATTTTGAGACAGGGTCTCACTGATTTGCTTAGAGCTTTGCTAAATTGCTGAGGCTGGCTTTGAACTCACCCATCCTCCTGCCTCAGCCTCCCAAGCCACTGGGATCACCACAATGCCCGGCCTCATCTTAGTTTTTATTAATCATCTGCTTTATTTATTTTAGAATATTTTCTCCTTTACAGAGAAAAATTCCATATTGACCAATGGGTCTTGCAATCTGCATTTTAAAAGTCTTGATTCTAAGCACTGTGTTAATTAGGATAGTACTTTATGGAGATTCTTGTGTGTATGTCTATGTTAGGATGGTCAGAAAAGGGAAATTGTTTTTGTAGTTAAGAAACTGCTTAGTATCAAAAAAAAAAAAAAAAAAGAAAGGAGAAGGAAATATATGTTTTTAATACAAAAAGAGAGAACATTTGAGTTACTAAAATAAAACATAATTTGAATAATTATGAGTCAATAATCCATAGGAGTCTATAATCTTGCTCCTGAGATCCCCTGAAGGCTATTCTAGAACCTTGCTCAGCAACTAGTAGAAAAAAGAAACAAATACTATTTTGTCAGTTCCCTGTTGTGGTTGTGAGACACATTTTATGTAATAAAGTGCTATTTAAAGTATGAGCTGCAATTTTATACAGCTGACTTTACTTAATTCTAAAGAAAAAAACATTGAACACTTGGTGGAAACTTATGGTGCTGTAGTTTTTACTCCACAAGTTATTTAAACCTCACAGTGCTTCCAAGAGATTGGTTAATATTTTTCTTTTTGTTACAAAAGGAGTCCAAATATAAATAATAACAAACATAATAATACTGTATTTATAGTTTTTCTCTATATGTGTGTGTGTGTGTGTGTGTGTGTATATATATATATTTATTTATTTATTTTTTTTACACTTGAAACTCAGTTTTAATATTAACAGAATTGAGTTGGAGTGCCTATTAGACTAGCAACTTAGGAGGCTGAGGCAGGAAGATTGCCATCCTCAAAGCCATCCTCAGCAACTTAGTGAGGCCCTAAGCAACTTAGGGAGATCCTGTGTCAAAATAAAAAATAGAAAAAGCTCAGGAGATAGCTCAATGTCCTTGAGTTCAATCCCTGGTACAAAAGAATTGAGTTGGAGTGGAAACAAAGGAAAAGGCATACTCTGTAGTGCTATAATGCTTTATGATTATTTTGAGTTAAGTTAAACTCTCATTTGGATTGGTGACTGAATGACAGGTACTCTTTTATCTGAAGAACAAGAAACTACAGTTGCCAGTGCAGAGCTACGAAAACTAGCCATTAACACATTGTCTTTCCACTCTTTTATCTCTGTTTGACATATTTATACCTTTCTCACAGGTGCATACACACTATATAACCATTGTCAACTCTAAAGTGACATTTTCTTTTTGACAAACACATCTAAACTCACATATCCAAATGCAGCCTGTGCTCTTCAAAATGCAAGCACATTTCAATATCATTGTATTTTCCAAGCTTTGAGAATTTTGTTTTTTGAGGGGAGCTTTTTGGTTTTTAATATTTTTATGATTGTTGACTTTTGCTCCTATTTGATTTTTGGAAACAGCTGAATGTCATTTGAAGCCAAGAGTAGATGACCGCCAGTGAGTAACATCCATTGTGGTAGAACATGATCTGAATGCATGACCAATCTTGCCTGAGCAGCTCCCATTTCTTGTTGTTCTAATCCTTTTTATAAAGAGCTGTCAGAATCAACTTTTTAAAACTGAGCTCCAGTGAAGATATTTTCCAATCTCAATGCTTCTTCTTTGCAGAGTAGAAATGTCAAGGTCCTTCCTGATTGAGCTCAACCTCTCTTAAAAGACTTACTTTACATGATACTGCCACTAACTCTGGTTACCTGTGCTGAACTACCTGACTTTCAAAACTTTCCAACTCTGTGCCTTCATCTAGGCTGTTCCTCATGGGAATAGCCTCTTTTGAATTCTTACCAATTTTTATGTAGTATTCTTTTATTCCAGAAAAATTTTAATGTGGTCTTCTTCATTCCTGCTGAATTTCTATTTGTCTTGAGGATGCCCCGGGTGCCGGTTCTCATATCTTCCCAATTATAAATTACTTGTTCTGAGGTTTCAGAGTATTCTGTGTTGCCTTCAATCTTGTAGTATTGCTACTAGATTCTAAGTGTTTGGTTATATTCCTTGGTTTCATAGGATTAGAATTTAGCAATGACTTGTACATCATGCATTTGGGATTGTTTTTAGTACTAATCCTGAAGACAATTTCAAAGGGACTTACAAAGGTATTTTGAGTAATGGGTATAGCTTTCCAAGGATATTTTTAAGATAATGCTCATTGGTGTTTACATGATATATTCAAGTTTTTTTTCTTTTTCTGATTTCATCACTTTCTTGTCTACTTGTTATATGACTTTGAAAATTCTCCTATAAAGGACAGGTTATATATTCATCATGCTTCAATCTGGATGCCGAAGTGATGCTATGTGATGTTTCTGCCTCTTTTTCTTGATGCACAGGAGGCCATCTACCATGGAGTGAAGAAGCTCAAGTAACCTGTGAAAAGGACCATGTAAAGAGAAATCAAGACACTTGGTCTGCAGTCCTGGCTGTGGACCAAGTGCTGCCCATGCATGTGAGCCATTTTAAAAGTGGATTCTCCATCTCCTATTTAATGCACCATGGAGCAGAGATGAGCTGTTCCCAACTGGCTTCCAAAATTATACATTTTTGAGCACAAGTGATTTTTTTTTTTTTGTTTTAAGGCACTAAACTGTGGAGTGGTGTCATGAAGCATTAGATAACCAATCCATTTTGTTTATAGATCATAGATCACAAAATTTTGAACTTTAAATCTTATACATTATATTATTATCCTTGTTTCAGAGATGAGAAATGAATAATTCAGAGTTCAAGTAGATTTAAGATATGCTACTTCTGTGTTTATCTAGCTGGAGGAAATAGTTGGAAGGAAAGACCCCTGGATTTGAAATGACAAGATATGGGCTTGAGGTTTACTTCTGCTACTTACTAGCTTAGGTGAACTTGGGCAAGAGTCTTAATTTCTCTGAACCCAGTTTATTTTCCTTTTAAATGGTAATAAAAATAACAGACCTATATCAACTTTCTCTCCCTCTTATTTACTCAATTTAACAATGGTTTATAAATTAACTGATATACTGTGTAAGCAAAGAACACATAAGGATATATTTGTGTTTTTGTGAAGTTTGTAGTTTGTCAGGGAGCCAGTGACATATTAAAATTATTACAATACAGTTCAGTAAGTGCTATTATAGAAAATAAATACAAGGTTAAGTTTTGATAAGAGGAGAGAGCCATCAATTCTGCCTTAGGGTGGTGAGGGTTAGTTCCATAGAATAAGAGACCATAGATCTGCTTCTCAAAAGATGAATAGAGAGGAAAAGTTATATAAAGGCATAAACATATAAGAAAGCATTAAGTCTTTAGTCAACTGCAAAATTTGAGCTCTAGATGGTAAGAAACAATATTAGAGATAGATAAGGGACAGATTTTGGAGAGCCTTGTGTACTGTGGAAAGGAGTTTGGACTTTGTGTAGATGCAAGGGAACCCCCAAGGTAATTAAATCACAGAGGTAACAGGATTGAGCTATAATTTAGAAAGGACTGGAGTAGTGGAGGGTAGGTTTTGCATGGAGTCAAAAAGCAAATAGCTTAAAGGAGGAACAAAGGAAAACAGCAAGTAGGCTCTCTAGGACATTAATATAAAAAATTCAGGAGTGGATTGAGGAAGGCCTGAACTAGCATAGAGGCAGAGGGGTAAAGGGAGGATAAGTCAGTTCTGAAAGATTTAGGGAAAGAATTGACAGAATATGTGACTAGACTTTTGGACTGATGCAGGGAGCCAGTGTAATGCTACTATGTTCAAATATAAAATACACAGTCTACAAAGATGAAGAATTATCAAATAATTAGTGATAAAAATTTAAATATAAACTATCTTTTGTATTACCCCAAAGAAAACATATTAGAAAAGTCTGCCACATAAAGACTTGCATTTTCTCCAGTGTATCCAAAATCTAAATGTGACTTTTTAATGAAAATATTTGAAGAAATGAATGTTTGAATTAACTTGATTATTTTCTGTTAAATCTTTAATCCATATCCAGTGACCAGGAAACACTAAACTTGGTGGAAATGGTGAAGGTGAGATTAAGAGAAGTGGGGAGAAAGACTAAGAAGAAGGGGACAATATTAGGATAGGACTCTAACAAATCCATGTCTAACCGCAAGTGTCTTCCCTGGGGTGTGGATCTTGGTTACCTAGAACCTGCCGAGAAGAAGGCAGTCTTTACTGTCCTCAGGAGCATTAAGGAAAAATACCACCTCACGTCTCCCTCGGTTCTCTTTCCTCTACTCAGAATTGGGCTAACCATAATGGCGTGGAAAGAAGTGTTGCTTTGTTCATTTTCCAGAAAGAGGGATCTGGAGGAGCCCAGGGCGACATCAAAATGAACATGAACTTGCTTTGTTCCTTGAGGCTTCATTTCATAATGCCCCTGGGGACTTGGCCTCTTCTTGATCTTAGGAAAGACCCTGGATTGGCTACACCTTTGATAATACTGGGTTCATTGGGTAGTCATTCCAACATTAGAAAGAGGGAAAATTATGCATAGAAGGTACAGATATGAAACAGAACTTTGTGTTGACTCTTTTGTAAGCGATTGAGACCTGGAATGGTGGGAAATGAGACTGGACTGGGGAGAGGGAGGGAGAGAGAAAGAGAGAGGGAGAGAGGCGCAAACTATGGATATTGAAGTGTCTTGTTTGTTGTTCAAAGAAGTTAGGATATGGGAGAGAGGGATTCCCAGAAATAACTCAGTCAAGGAAGACCCAGGATTAGGGTGTCACTTAGAAAGTCCTGAAAGCTGTGTGGAGCCTGGGTTGTGGTCCACAACAAGCCTGGGAAAGCCAAGATTTCAAGTTCCTTTTTCCCAGCAAGAACACTGATCTGACAAGGGCACTTGCGTTCGGGTGCAGCCCAGGTCTGAGAGTTCTTAATTCAGGGATTCTACTTTGAGTAAGGCATCAGGTCTTCATCATCTTTTATCAGAAATACATCTTCTTGGGCTGGAGTTGTGGCTCAGCGGTAGAACGCTCACTTAGCACATTCAAGGCCCTGGGTTCAATTCTCAGCACCAAATAAAAATAAATAAATAAAAATATTGTGTCCAACTACAATTAAAAAGAAAAAAAAAAAAGAAAAGAAATACATCTTCTTTACACTGATCTTTCCTCTCACCTCTGGCCAAGAACCAGTGGTACTTGCCCTGGGTAGTCGTAGGAGGAGAGAACAGAACGTTTCTGTGGAGCTGCATTAATCACCCAGGAGAGGCAACCAGCTGCAAAACCCACAAGGAGCGTGAGCTCGGCTAAGTTTGTAAGTGTGGCTGAAACCCAACAAATACCTCACTCCTCACTCGAATTTTGCCCTCCCAACCCTTGAGCAAATATGAGTCAGCTAAGGGATAACTCAGGCAGAATATTGGAGCAGTCTGGTTCTTTACAGAGAATAAGGTTCTGTGGTTATTATCCAGGAGAATGGAAGATTTCCAGGAATTTTGGGGGGTTTCTGATTTTTCCATTTTTTTTCTTCTTTATTAGATGACTCTATAATTTTCTAATTTAATTCTCTAACACAATAAATTTTCTCTTCTTCAGAAAACTTATCCCTGTGCAGAATATTTAATAGATCCTTAAAATTTGCCAACAAACTTATTTTATTTTAAAAGGTTGTATAGGAATGAAGAAGCAAGTCTTAGATGTAGTAGATTTGTTGATCACTTAGAGGTTGAAAGACAGTTTCAATAAAATGTGTTGCTGTGATCATTTGTGTCTCATCTGAAAGACATCTTGAAGATCCAGCGCCTAGCTGGGCTTGGTGGCACATGCCTGTCATTCCAGCAGCTCGAGAGGCTGAGGCAGGAGGACCATGAGTTCAAAGCCAGACTCAGCAACAGCCTCAGCAACTTAGTGAGGCCCTAAGCAACTTAGTGAGACCTTGTCTCAAAAAAAAAAAAAAAAAAAAAAGGGTTGGAGATGTGGCTCAATGATTAAGTGCTCTTAGGTTCAATCCCTGGTACCAAAAACAACAACAACAACAACAAAAAACCCTAATAATAATCTCGCACCTCTGACTTGATTCTCTACAACTCAGCAGCAGGTACTCTGCTTCTGAGTGCATGTAGTGTAGGGATCTCACTGTTTTTTGGGAAGCCCTGTAACAACTGCTTCCCACAGTGGTCACCCCCTACTCATAGTTCCACTCTGTTACAGGAAATAACTTTTACCCTTTTCTCATAGTACAGAAGTGACACAAATACTGAGGCTGAAGTCACAAGCACAGCAACCTTTGTGACAAACACCAGGACGGGGGCCATGTGTTGTGCAATAATCATTCTCAATTTTCTGCCCTTGGCAAATGGGTTCCTCTGTTCCCTCGTTGCCCCTTTTCCTTCTCTTTAGCCCACTCTTCAATATGTAAAATAGGGAGAATCTGGTTTTTGCCACCAATAGCATAAATTTGGTTCGTAAGCCATTTTTCAATATAGGACACCATATGTTTTGCTGCTCTGTGTTTCAGATAAAGGCCTGAGTTTTCATAAAATGAATTTTGAAGGATTTTTCTTTTTCCTGGTGAAACTTTGAAGTTTTGCTCAGAAGATGGTAGAGAGGAAATATCCAGACTTTCTGTCTCCTGGCAACAAGAGATTTCCAGAATCTTCTGCCAGCACTGTTTGGACATTTAAGACTAAATAATCTTGCTACTAAAGTCACAATTTAAGTGCAGTTTTGAAGTGTTGCCCCTCCTTGTGAGCTTCCTTCCTCTTCCTCTAGAGTGAGCGGGTAGGTGGTTGGCGGGGTATAGCAAACCATGGGAGGAAAAAGTGGGCTGGTGAATGGAATCGTTTCTCAGTGTGGTTGAGTCTCACAGCTTTTTATGGTTGTCTTGTTCCTACCTGTCTAACCCTCCTTTGACCAACTCCTTCCCTACCTCTTCACCCTCAACCCCCCAAAACCACAACCACAGTTAAATCATTAAACACATGAAACAAATAAAACTGCCTCTGTGTGAAATATGCCTCTTTGGTCACGCCATCCGGTGACAGGAGCCTCCCTTGTCAACAGTAACAGGCAGAAGTTCTCCAACCAGGCAGGCACCTAACAGACTCTGCACCCTCAAAGCAGAAGGGGGAGGAGAGGCCAGCGCCTCTGGGTTAGGACCTGTTGATTCTTGGAAGCCAGGAGAGGGTGGGGCAAAGACACTCCCAAGAACCTTGGCTAACTCAGAGGGGAGAGAAAGAGCCCTCTTGTGTTCACAGCCATGGGGCCACTTGTTCATTCAACAAATAAATTTATGACTTGATCTCTTAGGCTCCTGGCTGAGAGGGTGGGAACAGTCTCTTGGGATTAAAAATTTGTCAGGGCTGTAAATGAAACAATTTTAAACTTTCTAATGTAAACTTTTAAGGAGGCTTTAAAAACGTACTCTCAGAATCCTACAGCTCTCCTTAATATCTAACTGAAAGGCTAAGTTCTAAAATGATACTTCTGCCTTTTGCAAATTTCCTGTCCTTGTAGTCCTAGCATGAAGTGACAAGGTTATTGGTGAGCGCTCAAATTCAACTGGGAAACTTTTAGAAAATATTGGTATCTGGGCTTCACCCCAAACCAATTAAATCAGAATTACTACTGGAAGGGGTCGTAGTTCCTGATGAATTTAATGAGCAGCCAGGGTTAAGAATCACTGTGTTAGACTAACCAAATATATTCATCAATATTTTTAGAGGTTTGTTCAGTATTAGCATGGTGCTTTACTTTGGGGCTAGAGATCAAGAGGTGATGTGGACTCCCAATGAGAGGACCTGAGAATGACTACTGGAGTCTGAGGAAGAAGGAAAACCAAGAAAGAACACAGAGTCAAGGGTAGCAAAGGACAATGATTGTTTCAAGGACAACAGCTGGGTCAACAGGATTTGGTGCTGCAGAGCAACCTCATGATACTTTAAAGTGTCTCTACATTGGATGACAGGGGGATTATGGATACTCTTAGATCAGGTACAGCAAGATTTCACTTGGT